CACTCTAATCACTGGGTCTATAACAGAGAAGGTATAGCGTAAGTATCATACTGTGTCTGTGTACGAGGGGATTGGCTCTAACCGCTGGGTATATAACGGAGAAGGTATAGCGTAAGTATCATACTGTGTCAGTGTACGAGGGGATCACTCTAACCGCTGGGTCTATAACGGAGAAGGAATAGGGTAAGTATCATACTGTGTCGGTGTACGAGGGGATCACTCTAACCGCTGGGTCTATAACAGAGAAGGTATAGCGTAAGTATTATACTGTGTCGGTGTATGAGGGGATCACTCTAACCGCTGGGTCTATAACGGAGAAGTTATAGCGTAAGTATCATACTGTGACGGTGTACGAGGGGATCGGCTCTATCCGGTGGGTCTATAACGGAGAAGGTATTGGGTAAGTATCATACTGTGTCGGTGTACTAGGGGATCGGCTCTAACCGCTCGGTCTATAACGGAGAAGGTATTGGGTAAGTATCATACTGTGTCTGTGTATGAGGGGATCACTCTAATCACTGGGTCTATAACAGAGAAGGTATAGCGTAAGCATTATACTGTGTCGGTGTATGCGGGGATCACTCTAACCGCTGGGTCTAGTATCATACTGTGTCGGTGTACGAGGGGATCTGCTCTAACCGCTGGGTCTATAACGTAGAAGGTATAGGGTAAGTATTATACTGTGTTAGTGTATGAGGGGATCGGCTCTTATCGCTGGGTCTATAACGGAGAAGGAATAGGGTAAGTATCATACTGTTTCGGTGTACGAGGGGATCGGCCCTAAACCCTGGGCCTATAACGGAGAAGGCATAGGGTAAGTCCCATACTGTGTCAGTGTATGAGGGGACCGGCTCTAACCGCTGGGTCTATAACATAGAAGGTATAGCGTAAGTATTATCCTGTGTCGGTGTATGAGGGGATCGGCTCTAATCGCTGGGTCTATAACGCAGAAGGTAAAGCTTAAGTATCACACTGTGTCAGTGTATGAGGGGATCAGCTCTAACCGCTGGGTCTATAATGGAGAAGGTATAGTTTAAGTATCAAACTGTGTCGGTGTAGGAGGGGATCACTCTAACCGCTAGGTCTATAACGGAGAAGGTATATGGTAAGTATCATACTGTGTCAGGGTATGAGGGGATCGGCTCTAACCGCCGGGTCTATAACAGAGAAGGTACAGCGTAAGTATTATACTGTGTCGGTGGATGAGGGGATCGGCTCTAACCACTGGGTCTATAACAGAGAAGGTAAAGCGTAAGTATCATAATGTGTCAGTGTACGAGGGGATCACTCTAACCGCTGGGTCTATAACGGAGAAGTTATAGCGTAAGTGTCATACTGTGTCAGTGTAGGGGATCGGCTTTAACCGCTGGGTCTATAACGGAGAAGGTATAGCGTAAGTATTATACTGTGTCGGTGTATGAGGGGATCGGCTCTTATCGCTGGGTCTATAACGGAGAAGGTATATCGTAAGTATTATATTGTGTCAGTGTATGTGGGGATCGGCTCTAATCGCTGGGTCTATAACGCAGAAGGTAAAGCTTAAGTATCACACTGTGTCAGTGTACGAGGGGATCGGCTCTAATCGCTGGGTCTATAACGGAGAAGGTTCTGTGTAAGTATCACACTGTGTCTGTGTACGAGGGGATCGGCTCTAATCGCTGGGTCTATAACGGAGAAGGTATAGCGTAAGTATTATATTGTGTCAGTGTATGTGAGCATAGGCTCCAACCTTTTTTTTTATCAAGGTATGACAAAGAAGTTAATACAAAATATAAACTAAATCAGTATATAACTATTGGAACAGCTGTTTGACTACTTTTATGAATTTTGGTAGAGTTCTTTTGACTACTAAAAACTTACATTACAAATTGAAATAACATATCTCTATATAAATGTATCATTTGATGTTTTTAATGCTTACATATAAATACTTTTAGGTACATCCGCTGTTTTTACCTGGCAACGAAGACTGCCACCTCCATTGGAAACAACCCTATCCCTACCAACACACTGGAGTACATCTTCATGACTATATACTGGGTCTCAGGGGTGTTTGTCTTTGCTCTTCTCATTGGTCAGGTAAGTGTCTTTGATCTTCTCATTGGTCAGGTAAGTGTCTTTGATCTTCTCATTGGTCAGGTAAATGTCTTTGATCTTCTCATTGGTCAGGTAAGTGTCTTTGATCTTCTCATTGGTCAGGTAAGTGTCTTTGATCTTCTCATTGGTCAGGTAAGTGTCTTTGATCTTTTCATTGGTCAGGTAATTCATATGACAGTTTACTGAGACTTGAGGGTCTTTGTCTTTTCATTGGTTAAGTAAATCACATGACTTTTAACTGGTTCTTTGTGATATATTTGTCTTGCTTTCCTTATTCATTAATGATATGTAAGTAATGTATAGCAACATAATTCTACAATTTCACAGTGTTTAAATTTTGTGGGTTTGGTTATGAAACAAATATACGATAGTTTAAATTTTGCACAATCCTTGAAATAGGCATTATTTTAACAACTCTCTACTGAGAAGGCAACATTTGCAAAGTTTATATTTCACACATATTTTCTGGTTGGAGTATAACAAAAATGAAATGTCTGTGAAATGTAATCAATACAGGTATTAAGTTAGTCACATGACATGTCTTTGAAGTCATCATTTTCTCAGGTAGTTTATTAGACAGGTATGCCATATGATAAATTCTTTGTGTTTTTCTAAACCAAAAAAAATAAAGATGAAGTGACACAGACCTGAACCAGACACAAAAAGAAATGTGAAATTGGATTAATCAGCCATCACTCTATTGATGTAAATACCTTAATTAGTTTTGGTAGTGGAAATGCTTTCTTTTACTGTTGAAAATGTGTACACATTGTGTTGGTACAGATACGGGACATTGTGGATGCAGCGGGCCGTGTGAAGGCCCAATATGACAAGATGATGGATGACGCTCTTAGATACGTAAAGAATCTCAACTGTCCCAATGACACACAACGCAAGGTCAGGACCTGGTTCCTGTACCAATGGCAACAGCAGAAGATCTCAGGTAGGCAACACAAGGTCAGGACCTGGTTCCTGTATCAATGGCAACAGCAGAAGATCTCAGGTAGGTAACACAAGGTCAGGACCTGGTTCCTGTACCAATGGCAACAGCAGAAGATCTCAGGTAGGTAACACAAGGTCAGGACCTGGTTCCTGTACCAATGGCAACAGCAGAAGATCTCAGGTAGGTAACACAAGGTCAGGACCTGGTTCCTGTACCAATGGCAACAGCAGAAGATCTCAGGTAGGTAACACAAGGTCAGGACCTGGTTCCTGTACCAATGGCAACAGCAGAAGATCTCAGGTAGGTAACACAAGGTCAGGACCTGGTTCCTGTACCAATGGCAACAGCAGAAGATCTCAGGTAGGTAACACAAGGTCAGGACCTGGTTCCTGTACCAATGGCAACAGCAGAAGATCTCAGGTAGGTAACACAAGGTCAGGACCTGGTTCCTGTACCAATGGCAACAGCAGAAGGTCTCTGGTAGGTAACACAAGGTCAGGACCTGGTTCCTGTACGAATGGCAACAGCAGAAAATCTCAGGTAGGTAACACAAGGTCAGGACCTGGTTCCTGTACCAATGGCAACATCAGAAGATCTCAGGTAGTTAACGCAAGGTCAGGCCCTGGTTCCTGTACCGATGGCAACAGCAGAAACTCTCAGGTAGGTAACACAATGTCAGGACCTGGTTCCGGTACGAATGGCAACACCAGAAAATCTCAGGAAGGCAACACAAGGTCAGGTCCTGATTCCTGTATTAATGGCAACAGCAGACGATCTCAGGTAGGTAAAACAGGGTCAGGACCTGGTTCCTGTACCAATGGCAACAGCAGAAGATCTCAGGTAGGTAACGCAAGGTCAGGACCTGGTTCCTGTATCAATGGCAACAGCAGAAGATCTCAGGTAGGCAACACAAGGTCAGGATCTGGTTCCTGTACCAATGGCAACAGCAGAAAATCTCAGGTAGGCAACACAAGGTCAGGACCTGATTCCTGTATTAATGGCAACAGCAGAAGATCTCAGGTAGGCAACACAAGGTCAGGACCTGGTTCCTGTACCAATGGCAACAGCAGAAGATCTCAGGTAGGTAAAACAGGGTCAGGACCTGGTTCCTGTACCAATGGCAACAGCAGAAGATCTCAGGTAGGCAACACAAGGTCAGGACATGATTCCTGTATTAATGGCAACAGCAGAAAATCTCAGGTAAGCAGCACAGGGTTGTGACCTAGTTCATAAACCAATGGCAACAGCAGAAAATCTCAGGTAGACAACACAGGGTCAAAACCTAGATCTTACACCAACAGTAGCAGCAGAAACAATACAATGTCATGATAACCTGATTCATAAATCAATATCAGGTTAGTGATAACGGTCAGGATCACTTTTCTCTATCAGTGGTAAAAGTGGAAAATCTCAAATGGCACCACAAACATACAAAATGATTCTTTACCAACGATTAACTGTACTGACATTGTTTCCTTGTAGATGAGAAGAAGTTGATGGACTGGCTACCTAAGAACCTGCGCACTGACCTTGCTATCCACGTCCACTTCAACACTTTGTCCAAGGTGACCTTGTTCCAGGACTGTGATAAAACCCTCCTGTTTGACCTTGTCCTCAAACTTAAACCAATCCTCTTCCTACCAGGGGAATATGTCTGCAAAAAGGTATGCCTCCAGTTCCACATCATTTATATGTATACCACAAAGTTTTAAGTTCAAGTCTGTCATGCAAGCTCATTTCTTCTCAACATTGTCACGTACTTGTTTTAACATTAGGTAAAGTCTTGGATATGGTATTCTTGCATACTAGACCGAGATATCCGCATTTCCGGCCGTGGTGGAAAATTCTATCCGACCCACGGGTCTAGATTGCTTACACGCGCAGACTGGTGGGGGAATTAAAGTGACCTTTTGGGGTCACGCTATTGTTCTTGACGTCATTTTATGACAATTTGGGGTCAGTCAGGGTCATTGACGTCACTAACAATTGCCATCCGGGCTTCATATGCAAATGAGAAATGTGCGGTCAGTTTACAACTTTACGACAAGAGCAGATGTTTTTACGGGTTTTAGGTAATAAGCAAGAAATAGAATCCATCCCTGATTTGAGGTAAGGATAAGGTTATTCAAAGCCTCGGGATAAAATATTGAGCAAAAGACCCTCGGCAAAGCCTCGGGTCTCCTGCTCAATATTTCATCCCTTGGGTTTGAATAACCTTATCTATACCTCACATCAGGGGTGGATTATATAAGTGGAAGAAGGGATAGAGTTCATATACCCTTAAAAAGCACATTTAAACTCTTCCAATTCAAAGGTTAGAATAGTTCATTATGAAATTTCATGGGTTAATAATTTAAGGAATGTTAAGGCATTGAATAAGGTAACTAGACGTTCTAACTTACATATTATAAATTAATGGAATCTATCATGACTCGGATGTGGACAGGAGAATCTCAACCTCAGTACCATTTGTACCATTTCAACCAATGCTCTGCTAATGTCACGCTACCACAATTGGTACACTACTCAAGTTGGTACACGGTCAGAAAATGGTTCAAATAATACTTTAAAATTAAATTCAAGCATTTTCCTTCGACAGTGTAACGAAGGAGATATTGATCAGCATTTCCACCGAATAGTTTTGTTTTCAGGAACATTTTAAGAATACACAATGTCTTCAAAGTAAACATATCAAAAAACCTGTAGAAATGTTGTATGTCGACGAAAATTTGGAGGATTTTGAAGGGGTTAAATGTATAATTAAATGCTGATTTCTGGTCCTTATTTATAACTGGATAATATAAAAGTGTATATATATACAATTGTAGTTCAGTATGATATTTATAAAAGCAATATATTTTGTTGCAATCGGCACATCAACTAGAAGAAATAAAAACAAGTTTCATAGCCTGTGATATAGTGTACCAATTGGGGTACTAATCACGGACAGAAAAACGGACGAAATCTCACTGCGAGTTTAGCGTTCTATTTTCAAAAACAAATAACGTAGAATTAAAACTTTTTCTGAAAATGAACCACCATAGGTAGTCTTTGTCAAGAATCGAGAAATATTCCAGATACAAGATCTGAATTTTTGAATATCACTGAAAAACTGTCAAAATTGTACCAATTGTGGTAGCGTGACGTTAAGGTTTAAACAGTGAAAATCTTATCCAAAAAGGTCAAGGTTTTCCTGCTGTCATTTTATAGTCATTGTTAATTATTTTTTCCTCAAACGTTAAAATCTTTGTAATAATTCTTTAATCAAGAAAGTTAACATGTTAAAATCATGCAGTGACTTTTACCCATTTGTACCAAAACTGATGATGCTGTTCTGCTGTGGTATTGTTATGCTGCATGAAGTGATCACATTTGATAACATGATTCTATTGTGAAGTGGTAACATTTTCAGAATTAAAGTGTGTGTGTGTGTGCTGTCTTTCCCTACCTAGAAAGATATCAATTTATCTAGGGCTGAAACAATTCATCGAATCGTATCGTATAAGGATACTTTCTTGTGTATTTTATGAAGTTATTTTGTTATCACTAACAATACTGAAATGGTCAATAAATTTAAAATGAACTTATTGTTTTGGAATCCTTCAGCAAAGAAAATCAAAGAAGTATATGTTTTGATGGTATTCACTTTTTAACACTGGGACAAAGCTATGAAATCCTTCCCATTATGAAGTTCATTTTTAAACAGATGTGTGTATTGTCACACATATCTTATCCTAAGCATTGTAATACAATATCTATTGTAACGAGAGGTATACATATTGTTTCAGCCCTAGATTTCTCATTTCCCTATTTGAATTATTTTACTCCAGTGAGGTGAAGGATACAGGGAAGTTAAAATCCAGATGTAAAATGGGATCAAAGTTGGGAATTGGCTTGATACATGGATAATGATTACATGAATTTTTTTTTATTCGAGACCCCTGAAAAAATTAGTGGGTATATGAACAAGCAAATTTATTCGAGACCCCTGAAAAAATTAGTGGGTATATGAACAAGCATATGCATTTTGACAGATTAATATGGCAAATGATGTTGTTGGTGGTTTTTTTTCAAAGTACACAAGTGACATTATTTTTTTGTGATAGGCAGGGATATTGGAGGTATACTTATGACATAGTTCCGTTGTCTTGTCAAGATAGAGGTTTACACTTAGGACAAGTTTTGCTGGCTGTTTTAGAGAGATGTATGCTTATGACCATGTTTTATCTCGTCTAGGGAGAGGTAGGGAAGGAGATGTACATCGTAAGTCAAGGTCATGTGGAGGTTGTGGGAGGACCTGATGGGGCTACGGTTCTGGCCACACTCAAAGAAGGTTGTGTGTTTGGGGAAATCAGGTTGGTAAAAGTTTAAGTGTTGTATTTATAGACTTAGTATGGGATGTATGGATATAATAGACAGACTCGCTTTTATTGAATAATTTATTGTTCAATGACAACAATAGCTATTAGTATGAGCACAATTGATGTGCTGTTATTGACATATACTCCGGAACATTATTAGGCACATGCTGGAATTGTTTCTTAATCCATGCTATACATATACATTTGCATAAATAAAAAGTGCAATAAATAGAAAATGCTGTAAATTATAATGTTTTACTCCTGCATTGTCCAATGTATTATATTGATTTTATGCTATGATGAAGTTATTAGGTATCGGACATATTTCAGAATGTTTAACTTGTTAATTATTAAAAGTAGGATGTGAAACATTCCTGTTATGCAGAATCATTTATAGAGGTAGTTGGAGTTATTGCAAAAAAGAAAAGTTGAATATTTGGAACAATTAGTTGTATTTTTTTTTTGCAGTTTGCTTGCCATTGCAGCAGATGGTAATCGCCGGACCGCTGACGTTAGGTGTAAAGGGTTCACCAACCTGTTCATCCTCAGCCAAACAGAGTTTGAGGACGCTATGGCAGAGTATCCTGAGGCTCACAAACTTCTCAAAAAACGGGCCAAGTATGTATTGACGCTTAAAAGACATCCAGAATACCTGTAGAGTTTTAAAGTCTGGATGATGCAAAATATTCCCATTAAAATCACACACAAAAATTTGCAGAAAGCAGTATCTGTTTTGAAGTGCAGCCAATGACAAGAATCAAAACCTTTCCAGTCCTACCCCCTCACTAGTTTGACAGCAGGAAGTAATACTCTGCTCAGAAGCTTGCATTTGTTTACATTTAAATGATGGTTGATCCCGAAGATGCCATCACAAGACTGTTGTAAGGTGCTGTATGAGATACCGTCGTCTTTTGGTGATAGGGGACCTACACAGTATGTAACATAATAGTATATAGATGTTATACATACAGTGCATTATAGGATTTTTCTTTCAAATTATTTTCTAATCACTCACTTTCAATGATGATCAGGATGGAAATATTGTTCTTACAACAAATCATGAAAATAGTGTGATAATCTGTTAATATCATACTGGTGATTGCATTTCATTTCCATCAATCTTTTTCCAGGAAATTATTGAGACAAAATGCAAAGCTATCAAGTAAAAGTCCTGGTTCAACGGGAAGTTCCAAGGTCGGAGTAGAACCAATCATCCGGACACCTTCTAGAGATACAGAGACACCTAAACTCTTCAAAACGGTCCTACAGGTACGTCTTTACACCAACATCACTGAGATGGGTGTTATACAGACACTGGCTATGTTGACATCGATATAAGAGTTCAGTATTGAAGTAACTCAGATTTCTTAATTTTAGAAATTAACTATTAAATCATGCTTCATAACCAGCAAAGTCAATTAATTTCCTGATCACGAATGAAAAAAAGAGTATTCAATTTGAAAGAAGTAAATTAATTATGTAGGTTGCTGTTCAGATCTCAGATCTGTTTGTTTAGCATAAGCCAGCTCCTACTAAGCAATATAATGATTGTGACATGAGCCTCAATATTGATCAAATAGATTACTTATTGTAAAAGACACAGAAATAAACTCACAATTTCAACCCGGCCATTTCAACAAGCTAAATGGTCCGGAAGTTATCGGAAGAGCTCTTTGATCACATGACCAATCACATGACCGCTACTCGGGAGCTCTCATGATTTATCCCTGGAAACATTGTGGAATCTCGTAAAACTTCGAGTCAAATGGTTCACCGATCGGTCATTAAAAAAAGTGAAGTTTTGAGGACTTTCCATAAATTCATGTCCCACGCCGTGAGACTCTATCAGATGTGAAAATCCGTCAGATTTTGCCTCACGCAGTGAGATCTGGCATGTATGATTCAGTTTTGTTTAAATAAATATTGATAATTAGATGTTAATTGTTCTTTGTTTAGAAATGGGAACAGAAGAACCAGGTATCAATTTTATGCATGTTTAGACAATGGCAGTTTGCATTGTACCAGAGACCTAAAGTAATTTAGGTATATGATTGCACTGATACCAAGTCAAAATTTACAGGATTCAAATGAAAATTTATAAGTTAAAGCATACAAATGAGAGAGAAATCCTCAGATTGACTTGGTCATGAATGTCTGAAAAAGTAAAAAAAAAATCTATACATGCACTAAACATTTCTTTTTTAAAAGTTACTTGTCATTTGCTAGGGTGAAGGGTAACAACAATTTAACATTATAATCACCATCGTCCGTCGTCCGTCCTTGTCCGTCAACTTTTCCTTTAAACAACTTCTTCTGAAGAACAGACAGGCCTAGAGTCATGATATTTGGCTGAAAGCTTCGTTGGTAGGAGCCCTACAAAGTTTGAGAACGAAAATGACCTTGACCTGTTTTCAAGGTCACAGGGGTCAAATATGTCAAAAACTTCAAACAACTTCTTCTGAAGAA